CTCTCTCTCTCTCTCTCTCTCTCTCTCTCTCTCTCTCTCTCTCTCTCTCTCTCTCTCTCTCTCTCTCTCTCTCTCTCTCCTGCGCGCTCGCGCTCGCGTGTACCCTCGCTTTCTCACAAAGACAAAATAAAACAAAACATAAAGGACAAAAAAGGCTCTTTGGACTGTGTTCTGTGCACCACCTTGGTAGACAATGAGGTTAGTGTGTCCTTGGCGGAGGACCTGTCAAGATGCAGGACTGGTCCTTTGAGAACTAGAAAGATGTGGGCGGGGATCGGGTACCAGGCTTGCACCACACGCCTTTTTGTGCTTTTCCAAATGGGAAGACACAAACAAGCCTGTTATTGGGCCTCGCTGCACTACACACGAAAACGAACATGAAACTCGTGACGGAGCATGGAACCAAAAAGTTCATTTTGGCCGTGGCCGCCACACTACAAGCGAAAAGAGGTAAAATGAACATCAAATGAGGTAAAATGAACATAAGTCGAACACAACAGGACAGACACCAGGGAAAAGAAAAAATTGAAAACAGCTTGGCAGTTGCTTCCTCTGATGGTGCCTCTCGTCCCACATGTACTTGGAGCACCCTAAAAAATCGCGATCTCGTTCTGCACATCTTTCTTGGAGCACCCTTAAAAATCACGAGGGCGCAGGTAGGCAGGCCAAGGCGGCATGCAACTTTCTCATCTGACATACCCCTGACCTCTCAGGAAGGTGGGTTGGACACAGATTTGCATGACTGCAGTGCAGCAGTGTGTAAACAACAGGAAATGAGCAGACACACTCTTTCGGTGCGTAATGTGGCAGGCCCCTTGTCTCTCTTGAGCTGAACCTTGACCTGGGCACGTAACTGCTCTCTCTCTCTCTCTCTCTCTCTCTCTCTCGTAGTGTGTGAGTTGAGCGCGTGGCTTGGCGAGAGAGAGCGAGAGAGGGGGGCAAGGGGGCCTGGATGGGCCCCGGGCCCCTTAGGCAACTGCCATATCCCTCTCTCTCTCTTAGTGTGTGAGTTGGGAGCCGAGAGAGAGCCAGAGAGGCGGGCAAGGGGGCTTGGGTGGGCCCTGAGGCCCTTAGGCAACCGCCAAGCCAAGCCCCATCTCTCTCTCTCTCTCTGTCTGTCTGTCTCTCTCTCTCTCTCTCTCTCTCTCTCTCTCTCTCTCTCTCTCTCTCTCTCTCTCTCTCTGTGTCTGTGTAGCTGCTTTTCCCCGACCCCTCTCTCTCTCTCTCTGTAAATCTTCCCGGCCGCTAGGTCTGCGTTCCCTGTGCCCCCGTAGTTAACCAATAGGATTTTTTTTCACTTTTTCCCCCCTTGCCAATGCCATTTCCCGGCTGAGCACACTACCCTCTTCCCCCGAGCATAACGCGTATGCGTTAAAACCGAATACAAACACATAGGCGGCGTTCTATTCGAACACAACACATGCACGTTCCATTCGAATAACCATGATTTTCGACTATAACGCATGTGCGTTCTATTCGAATGTTTTGGAAATCCTAAAACTCGAATTAAACACATATGCGTTATGTTCGGGGGAAGAAGGTAGTCTTTTCCTTGTGCTCTTTAGGCCCAAGGTCCTCTCTTACCGGAATTCTTCGTCCGTGGCCGTTGATCTTCTAATTTACCTTCTGGAACGGAGAATCCAATGGAGTCGGACCTCGCCCCTGGCAGCTTTGTGGGACAGGTGGGTTTGGACCGGGGGCCGGAACTCCACCCTTCCATCGGGACGGACACTCCACCCTTGCATCGGGACGGACACTCCACCCTTCCATCGGGACGGAAATTGTGGAAGAGAAGTTTTTCCGCTGTTTTTTGGATTCTAGCGGAAATTCGATTTTGATTCGATTTTGATTTTGTTTTTGGTTTTGATCGCGAGTTGATTCCAGCGTTGTCGTGACGGACGCTGGATGGTGAGGTATCGAGAGCGCGCGTTCAGATTTGTGGTGGCGCGGCATTATCCTGCTCGTTAGTGTGAGGACGGGTGGCGCGCAGTGGGAAAGAGGAGCGGGGGAAGGCGGGAGCAACATGGCGCCTCTGTTTCGGTTGTCGGGGGCTGCCGCGGGACTACGGCGCGTTTTGCGCACACGTGGCGGCAGCAGGTATCCCGACGGATGGTTTGGGCGGGGCACTCAGGAAGGTCCAAATGGTCATCTTTTCGGAGAGACCCCGCTTCCGCCAGGTGTCAGCCGCAAATGGGAAGATTGGGAGCTGCCCTATTATGCCTCGTTCGTCGCCGCGACTGTTATGCTGACGGTCGGGCTCTCGGCGAAGCCTGACACGACTCTCACCACGTGGGCGCGCCAAGAGGCGCTCCGGCGTATGTCTGCTGCCGAAGGCGAAGACAGTGAATGAGAGAGAGACAGAGAGAGAGAGAGAGAGAGAGAGAGAGAGAGAGAGAGAGAGAGAGAGAGAGAGAGAGAGAGAGAGAGGGTTGTTGATTTTACGGATGAGCTACTCGATCATGAAGTCCAGTTTGACAGAAAGGGGGTTGGCGTGGGCTTGCTTGATGATGGGGGTGACGTGGACTGTGTTGATAAGGGGCGCGGTACTGATGGGGTAATTAATGGGGTAACTGATTAATTACGCTACTAATTACCCCATAATCAGGCAACTCGGCTTCTGTTGCAGTGTATGGTGGTGATTATATTTGAGGAGGCGAGAGAGAGCATGTTTGGGTTGATTGCCTGTCATCTTGGTGCCTTCGGTGATTGATGAGCAGTCTGATCGTGGGGTAATTAGTCGGGTAACTGATGGGGTAATTAATGGGGTACGTAATGATGCAATGAATGATGGTAAAACGGACCGATCGATTGGTTTTTGATTGCTGGGGTGATTCGGTGATTGGACTGGTTGATAAGTTGATTGGCTAGTTAGTTAATCAGTCGGTTGATTGATTGGGTTGGTAATTGGTTTGCTTGATTGGATGACTCGTCTAAGCTCCATGATTTGGGTGTTTCTGTCTTGTCGACAACGGGCGAGCGGTTTTTCCTGCTAATGACCTCCACGTGCCATTTTTTGCCGGGTAGGGTTACCCGTCTCCAATCAGGTAATCTGCTTAATTATACCCATCGAATCTGTCACCTATTGATTGTATGCGTTTAAATGGAGTGCCTATGACACGATTTGCATACTAAATTACTATCCAACGCCTTTGTAACGAAAAAAAGGACTGCTTCCGAATGGTCCATTCTGATTGATTGGGACAGGTGGAAGATTCTTTTCTGATTGATTGATTGGGACAGATGGAAACTCTTTGATTGATGGTATTTGCACAGGCGGAAGCTCGTTTCTAATTGATTGATTGATTGGTTGATTGATTGATTGATTGATTGATTGATCGATTGATTGATTGATTGGGAGAGATGGAAGCTCTTTGATTGATGGTATTTACATAGGCGGCAGCTCGTTTCTAATTGATTGAGTGATTGGGTGGGACCGGTGGCGGCGCCATGAACTGATTGATTGATTGGGACCGATGGCAGATCCTTTATTGATTGATTGGGACAGCTGGTAGCTTCTATGTCGATTCATTTGGGACAGATGGGGTCTCTTTGTTTGATTGATTGGGACGGGTGGCAGCTTCCATTCTGATTGATTGATTGGGAGATATGGCAGGTCTTTGATTAGTTGACAACGGCGTGACAATGTGGAAGCTCTTTTATTCATTCTCACAAGCGAGGGGGGGGGGGGGGGGGGGGGTATTGCGGTGAATAGGAACGCCGCGCTAGGGGTATACCGATCTCGACCGGCCTTCTCCTTCTATTTTCATGTCATCAACCTTCTTGGGCATGTGGACATGCGTGAACTGCGGTAGAGAGGAGCCAACCGTATGTGTGTGTGTGTGTGTGTGTGTGTGAGAGAGAGAGAGAGAGAGAGAGAGAGAGAGAGAGAGAGAGAGAGAGGGAGGAGGGGAGGTGGAAGAGCTGTCACGAGATTTGTTTGGGCAACTTCAAAATTGAGCGAGATGTCCGATTTTTCGAATTAGTTTGTTGTGATTTTATGAATTTTTATCCATTTTGTCGTTTTCTTTATGTTCGTCCTTCTTTTGCGATGAGCTCTGAGTTATGTCTTCACTCGACACGTTTGCCTATCTCAACCTCGCTTTGTGCCTGGCCAGTGAAATGTGCAAGAATGCCCCCCTGGCCAGTGAAATTTGCAAGAATGCCCCCCCTGGCCAGTGAAATTTGCAAGAATGCCCCCCTGGCCAGTAAAATTTGCAAGAATGCCCCCCTGGCCAGTGAAATTTGCAAGAATGCCCCCGTCGATCCTCTTCTTGGCCTTGTTGTCCTTCGTATCCTTGTGCATATTCGAGCGCTATGTGTGCATATCGCAGTTATTTTGGGATGCGTGGCTGGGTGCCCCAGTTGTATACTGCAGGTTGATGTATTGATTGATTGGTTGTTTGATTATGTAATTGATTGTTGATTGATGGTTAATTGATTGATTAATTAATTGATGAGTGATTGTTGATGGGTGACGAATGATTGATTGGCAATTTGATTGGTTGGTCGATGATTTACTGACGATTTCCTGGTTGATTGGATTAATTGATTGATTGGTTGACTGATTTTGATTGGTTGATTGATTGGTTGATTTTGCTTGATCGACTGGTTGATTGGTTGATTGGATAGGTTGATGGATGAATGGATGGAGCTTGGCTTATTTCTGCGGCTGCCTTGTTTCTGTTGCCGCAGGCCGCAGAAATAAGATAAACGTAACGTGATTGGTTTTGATTGAATAGGTTATTTTTTGCGGGGACGAGTTTTCCACGTGACGTTTTTTTTTTTCTTTTTTTTCTGAAAGGCTCCTTCTAACACATGTCGTTTGTCTTATTTCCGCGGCTGCCTTCTTTGTTTTCTCTTCGCTGTTATAGGATGTGTTATGAACGTGTCATTGAGGCCGGTTGCGCCTGCTGACGTGTCATTCAGTGAAGCCTGTTGCGCCTGTTGCGCCTGCTGACGTGTCATTCAGTGAAGCCTGGTTGCACGTGCTGACGTGTCTTTCAGTGTATCCTGGCTGCACTTGCTGACGTGTCATTCAGTGAAGCCTGATTGCACTTGCTGACGTGTCGTTCATTGAAGCCTGTTGCGGCTGCTGACGTGTCAATTATTGAAGCGCGTTGCAGCTGTCGACATGTCGGCTTTAAGTGATTTTGTGCGTCTGCTTTGAGAAAAAAGAGAGGCGTTTAACAAATAATTGATGTCATTGGTCGATGGATTCTGATGATATGGTGGGAAAAAAAGTAGCTACCAAATGGACTACTCGTTGTGGTGCTCATTGATTTAATCTCATAATTCAATTCTCATTAATCAATTCTCATAAATCAATGTGTCGATCAATAATCAGTCAATCAACCGATCAAAGTGGGTAAGGAAGGGTCTTTATTAGTTATCCAATCAACCAAATCAGTCAGTCAATCAATCAATCAATCAAATGAATCAATCAATCAAGTTAATCAATCAATCGAAACAATCGATCAATCAAATCAATTAATGAAATCAAGCAGTCACATCAATCAATCAAATAGGGGAAAAGATGGGTGGAGGAGGAAAATGATGTACAATTGAAATGATTGATCGCTTTTTTTTTTGTTGTATTATTATTATTATTATTTTCTTATAACTCTGTCGATAGACGGGGAAACTTCAATTCTTTTTTTTTTTTCCCTCGTCTTTATTTACTTATCTTTACTCTTTCACGGTACCTGCATCTGGCCTCAAAATCGCACCAAATACAGCTACCTAATTGCTGCGTCGTGTTCGAGGACATCAAAGTGAATCCCTGTGTGGTTATCGACTAATCGACTACCGTCTCTCCCAGAGGACTCAACGCACCTTTATCATGACTGTATCGGACCGGAAACGCTGCTTGTATACGTTCATGATGAGGGTACGCTGTATTTGGGGGAAGACGGCAGTAAATCGACTAACTACCGTAGAAATAATCAATCAATAAAGCAATCTTTGATCGACCTCGATCAATTTTTCTCTTAACTAATCAAATAATAAATTAATAATAAATTGATAATTAAATTAATCACTAGGCTATCAGCCGGGCCGCCCGGGTCCCGGGTGGCCAGCCCGTGCAAGGATCAGGTAAGGTCCCAGCAAAAAAAAAAAAAAAAAAAAAACTCCAAAAATTCTGAAAAAAAACTATGTTATGCAGAAAAATAAACTGAACAACTTTTGCCTCAGGGTCACATCGAAATTCTTCACCAAATTTAAAATAAAAAATAAAATTCAAAAATATTTTATTTATTTTTATTTTTTTTAATTATTTTGGCCCGGACGGGCAAGTGACCCCGGGCTACTCTGGTAGCCTAGATTAATCAACTAATTACTGATTAGTTGATTAGTAATGAGTCTGTCAATGGACCTGAGCGGAATTTCGTTAATGAGGCCCAAACCTAGCGTCTTCACCCGAATAGAACGCCTGGTCATCATTATGGCTGCATCTGGACTGAAAATGGCCCCCAATACAGCTATAACGACCTACTAATTAAGCAGACAACTAGTTAACTTACAAATTAATAAAACGACTAATAAGGGTGAAGATGAGGGTGATAGTGGAGATGTGGAGTGGATGAGTGAAGGCGAGGGTCATGATGGAGATGGAGATGGAGATGGAAAGTGAAGATGAACATGATGATGGAGATGGAGTTGGGGAGTAGGTAATGGTGATGATGGAGATGAGGTTGATGAGTGATGGTGGAAGATGATGATGGGGATGGAGATGGGGAAGATGGAGATGAGAGTTGATCAGTTAAGATGATGCTGATGATGGAGATGGAGATGGAGATGGAGATGGGGAGGGAAGCTTGAAGTGATGATAGAGATGGAGATGGGAAGGGAAGCGGGAAGTGATGATGGAGATGACAAAGACGATGAGGAGGTGAGTGAAGATGATGACGGAGTTTGGGATGGACATGGAGATGGGGATGGAGATGGAGATGACGAGTGAAGTTGAAAGGCATGATGGGGATGGAGATTGGTAGTGATGACGATGATGATGATGATGATGGAATTCAGCTGGTGACTGTGTGCTGATTCATTGACCAATGCTGATTAATTAACCAATGACTGTCGAATCGGCTATAGGCCAACGAAGCAGCAAATAGACGAGCTAATTAATCTCTCAACTAAACGAGCAATTATGACCAAATCATTATCTCGATCAAGAAAGTAATCCATCCATCCATCCATTCACCCAATCATTTATTCATCAACGAACAAATCCATTTCGTCAGCCAATCAATCAATCAATCGATCAATCAATCAATCAATCAATCGATCAATCCATCAATCAATCGATCAATCAGTTAATCAATCAATCGATCAATCAATCGATCAATCAGTCAGTCAATCGATCAATCAATCGATCAATCAGTCGATCAATCAATCAATGGCTCAACCGGTCAATTTCTTTTTTTTTTATTTTTATAACGATTTTCTTGTATTGTGGTTGCAAAAAAACAAAAAGAAATCCAGAACGGCTGCACTTCTTCCCCCCTCCCCCCCTTCCCCCCCGGGCTGCACGTTCGTTCCTTCCTGCCCCCCGATATGAACACTCGTTTTTTGTTTTTTTAAGTCTACAGGGATTCGCAAAATGTGTCCCTTTTTTGTTCTTCTTCTTTTTTTTTGTTTTTGTTTTTCTTCCCCCTAAACAAGGGCGTAGACACGGACACAATTTTTTGTCGCCGGTCTCTTTCTGTACTCTTTTTCGTACCGTCTTCCCCCGAACACAACGCAGCCTCATTCAGACTGTATCGAACTGGAAAGTTAGCTTGTACACATGCATATCAGGGTGCGTTATGTTCGGGGGAAGACGGCAGGCGGGGGGAGGTCTTGAGTAAGGGAGGAGGACGGCACAGAGAGGACGTGTATGAGACCTTCGCCTCACATGGCTCTTTGCAGAATCTATCTTTTTTTCTTCTTTCGCGACCGCTAGTGAAATTTCATACCTTAAATGAAATTAAATACTACGCAATTTAACCATTAAATAAATGTTTCCCTGACTGAATACTACAGCAAAGTAGGTTCCACCATCATTATAGGCATCCCGAACCTGTGGGAGTCTCAAATCAGTCCCAGGCCTGTCATAGGCAGTCCCAAATTTGCCTCATATGTCCCAGGCCTGTCATAGGCAGTCCCAAATTTGTCCCGAATGTCGCAGGCCTGTCATAGGCAGTCCCAAATCGGTCCCAGGCCTCTCATAGGCAGTCCCAAATCGGTCCCAGGCGTCTCATAGGCAGTCCCAAATTTGTCCCGAATGTCTCAGGCCTGTCTTAGGCAGTCCCAAATCTGTCCCAAATCTGTCCCAAATGTCCCAAATCTATCCTAGGCCTGTCGTAGGCAGTACCAAATCTATCCCAGGCCAGTCGTACGCAGTACCAAATCTGTCCCAGGCCTGTCATAGGCAGTCCCAAATCTTCCCCAAATCTGTACCAAATTTGTCCCAGGTCTATCCCAGGCCTGTCATAGGCAGTCCCAAATCTGTCCCAGGCCTGTCATAGGCATTTCCGAACCTGTAGGCAGTCCCAAATCTGTCCCATGCAGTCCTAATCTCACACTTAACTGTTCATGCATACAGTAGCAGAAGCATGAGGAAGGGGGTATGGGTTTAGGGGTTAGGGGGGCTAATGAACGAAAGACAAAAAAACAGTGATGGCCACCGAGAGACTGTCATTAACAAGAGCAGGAGGACATGGGGGGTGGGTGTGTGGGTTTACTACACAAGGGGGCCTCACCACACGGCAAACGGAACGAAAACGAAACGAGTGCATCTGCCCACAAAAGGTGGCAAAATACACTCGTTACTATTTACAGCAAACCGATGATTCTGTCCATTGTTGATGAGAAGATGCACGATGGACTTGACGTTTCGTTTTTCGTTATTCCGCACGGAAAACGGAAGAAAAAGGAGGGACAGCAGTGGTGGTTGATGATTTTTTTTTTTTCTTCCCAGAGCTACTCATCGCTTTGTCAGACTCTGGACTGTTTGGTTTGTTAGACTCTTCCCGGGGCACGTCTGGAGGTTGAACAACAAACAGTCTGCAGTCTGGAGTTTGATGAAGCAGAGAAAGAGAGTGGGATTATCTCGGTGTGGTGCTATGGGATGGGGTCATGGGGCCTTGCCAGGTTCACTCGCGTAATGAATGTATCGGTCATCATAGACCCTACGAATACTGATCAGCGGGGTATCAAGCGGAGTGAGTTGTGTGTGGTCT